CGCATTTGAAGTTTTTAGAACAGAGTGACCAAAATTGTTATAAAAAATAAATCAGATTCGCTTGAAACTTGTTACTTGGGGGTTTTTGGGGTCGCTGATTACGAATCTGAAATCAGTTTTTCAAAATTCAAAATGGCGGATCCAATATGGCGGACGAAATTTTTAAAATCTTTTTGATTTGCTTGAAGCTTGTTACTCGGGGGTTTTCGGGGTCGCTGATTACGAATCTGATGTCAGTTTTTCAAAATTCAAAATGGCGGATCCAATATGGTGGATCACGTTTTAAAAAAACTTCTTGATTCGCTTGAAACTTGTTACTCGGGGGTTTTTGGGGTCGCTGATTACGAATCTGAAATCAGTTTTTCCACGAAAATGTAACATTACATTTGACACACCTGTATTGTAGAATAGAAATTAGTAATAATGTGTAACTTTAATTTTTTGTAATTTTTTTCAATTTATACGGAAATTCTGCTGCGCACTACTTTTTTTCGTTTTAACATTTTGCCTTTTGATGCATCAAGAACAGTTAAAGAAAATTCTTACGAAGACTAACAAAACAAAAAAAATAAAAGGAATGTAGACTAAAAAGGGAAAATAGTGTTTTGATCTAAAAGTGGAAAGAAGTGGGCATTAAATTTTTAGATTTTCAAAAAAGAAGATTGGCTTACAAGACGACGAGACAACAGTAGTGAAATCACTTGCATTTATAGTTTTAAATTTTGTGACAGTATTTTCGATTATATCAGCAATTATTCAATACAAAAAATACGATAATGACGTGAAATTTCAAACATTAAGCACTTATGGTCTACGCTTCATAATAGCATCTTTAATATGAGTTCCTATTTGTAATAAGCGTCCGCAAAAACCCCCAAATAAAAAGTTTCAAGAGAATCAAAAAGTTTTTTTTTAATTTTGTCCGAAATATTGGACCCACCATTTCGAATTTTAAAAAAATAACCCCAAAAACCCCCGAATAACAAGTTCCAAGGGAATCAAGAAGTTTTTTTAAATTTTGTCTGCCATATTGGATCCGCCATTTTGAATTTTCGAAAACTGACTTCAGATTCGTAATCAGCGACCCCGAAAACCCCCGAGTAACAAGCTTCAAGCAAATCAAAAAGATTTTAAAATTTTCGTCCGCCATATTGGATCCGCCATTTTGAATTTTGAAAAACTGATTTCAGATTCGTAATTAGCGACCCCAAAAACCCCCAAGTAACAAGTTTCAAGCGAATCAAAAAGTTTTTAAAATTTTTGTCCGCCATATTGGATCCGTTATTTTGAATTTTCGAAAACTGACTTCAGTTTCGTAATTTTGAGGTATTATTCCTTCAGGAAATGCAAAAACCCAAAAATCGATTTTTTTGACCAAAACAACTAGGCGTAACCCCTTAAAAAATAGGGGTTATGTATGTAGAGTATGAAAAAATTTTATTGGGTGAAAGACTAGAAGAAACGTTGCTTGATAATGTTTCAGTATTAAATCTTAAATCCTATTATGGTATTTTTGTCCCGTTACGCGAAACTATTAAAATATTCTTAGAAGTACCCGGCGTGTTTAAAGAAATAATGCAATATATGAAATCGTTAAATCAAGAAAAAAAAATTATATATAATATTATACAGGCCAAACTATGGGCAACAAAGTATACCAAAGATTCTGTGAACGATATTGTATTGCCATTATATTTATACTTCGACGATTTAGAGGTGACGAATCCTTTAGGATCTCATGCCGGCATTCACAAACTTGGTGCAGTCTATGCATCATTGGCCTGTCTTCCTCCACATTCAGCGTGTCGGCTTAAAAGCATATTTTTCACTTTGCTCTTTTATAGTGAAGACCGAAAAAAACTAGGCAATGAGGCTGTATTTCGAAGGGTTATTGATGAAATCAATTTTTTACAAAGAACTGGGATACGCATAAGTATTGATAATGTTATGTATAATGTGAAATTTAAACTAATTTTAATTTTAGGTGACAATTTAGGATTAAATAGTTTGTTCGGGTTTGTAGAATGCTTCAACGCCAATTATTGGTGCCGAATTTGTAAAATTTTATCTAAAGAACTTTCAAAAACAACTGTAGAAGATCCATCACTTTTGAGAACTCGACAAAATTACGATCAAGACGTAAAAAAACCTTACTCTGAGACTAGAATAAAGGAAAAATGTGTGTTCCACGAAATTGATGACTTTCATATAACTGAGAATATTAGTATCGACGTTATGCATGATATATTGGAGGGGGTATGCAATTATGTATTAACTTATTTAATATATACATTTATTTACGTAAATGAATATTTCGATTTAGCACTTTTGAATCTCAGAATAGAAAATTTCGATTTTAACGAAAACGAACGTTCAAACAAACCTCCAAAAATTACGATCAATAACAGTAAATACAAAATTAATTTGAAATGTAGCGCTTCCGAAATGCTTTGCTTGTTTCGTTATTTCGGATTAATCATTGGAGACCTCATTCCTGAAAATAATAAGCATTGGATTTTGTACAAATTACTTAGACAAATACTCGACATTGTAACCTCGCCAAGAATAACTAAAGATGAAGCTAATATTTTAAAACATTTGATACAAAGATTCCTCGAATCATACATTGCTTTAGGTGAGAAATTAAAACCTAAATTTCACATTATCATTCACTACCCGAGTTTATTGTTACAAAATGGTCCTTTAGTTAACTTCTGGAGCATGAGGCTCGAAGCTAAACATAGGGAGTTAAAACTCAGTGCACATTCTAGTAATTGCAATATAAATTGACTTATTACTATTGCAAAAAAGCAATTACTGAAAATGTGTGAAAGGATACATAATTATAATTGTGAAAATGGTTGTGGAAAGTCCTATACATTTAGTTCACCGGACAAAAGCAAAGAATTTTTCGAACAAGTCGAAATTCATAGCACTCTTTACAAAATCGATACCTATATTGTGACAAATGTTGAAGAGACGGAAATAGAGTTTGGAAAAATTATCAAAATTCTGGAAATTGATAACAGCGTTTATTTCGAATTGCAATGTTATAAAGAAATAACTTTTGACGAACACTCTCATGCCTATATTGTCTTACAAACTTCCGATAAAAAATTATTAAGATTTCGTGATCTGCCGAATAGGGAACCATGTTTATTTGTAAACAAAAAAGAAACTTTCTACATTGCCACTAGATATTATTTGTAAGTCGAATAAGGAATCATAGTTGTTTATAAAAAAGTGAAATTTTTTATATTGTCGCATAATATATTTTGTAACCCGAATGTTTTTTCTTACCGTGTTTGTATGTAAAACAATTTAAACTTTTTATGCTGCCGGTCGATATTATTTGTAAGTCGAATAGGAAACCATTTTTATTTATGACAAAGTAAAATTTTTTATTTTGCCGCTAAATATTATTTGTAACCCTAATGTTTTTTGTAACCATGTTTGTTTGTAAAAAAATTAAAATTTTTATATTGACATCGATATGACTTGTAACCTTGTATAAAAAACGTAATTTCTTATAAAATAATTTTATAATTTATTTGTACCTTTAATATTATATAGTTACGCTGTACATGTTTTATATTATTAAATTTTAAAAAAGTCAAAAATTTTGACAAAAAAACATTTTTAGATTTTTAAGATAATTTTGAAGTTTTCTCATTTAAGTTTCTTCAAATTGATTTATTAAAATTATTAAAGTACACGAATTTATTAAACCAATTAAATTTTTTGTCAATGAATTTTTGAATTTGAAAGTAACAAAATTCAATTCAATATTAAATGAAATCGTCTTGCTTCAACATATACAGATTTAATAAATAAAGCAATAAGTGCTTTTACTTTATTTTAAACCAAAGTATCTTTAAAAAATAGCACTTATTGAAACAAATCAAAGAATTTTTAAGTTTTGATGTAAAGATAGTTTGACATATTGCGCGAGTCGAATTTGTCACCCGAAAAAGGGCGACTCAGTCACCCCGCGGAGGAAGAACCGCTCGACCCGATAGCAAGTAGCGCCGCTCTACCTACGCGGGGAGAACCGATCACCTAAACTTCTTTCCGTGTATGAGGCATTCCATTTCAAAAAGACCCCCTTCATAAACAATTGCCTTTGTAAGGCAATTTTTAAATAATTATTTCTCCCAATTTATAAAAGCTAAGCTTTATTCACTAATACTGTTTTTAAAAGAAAAATTTCTTAACTTTACGATAGTAAAAAATTTTGTTTTAAAAATAATATTATTTATGAAGAAAATTAAGTTTGAAAGATAACCTTTTGAATATCTCAAAACACGTTGCCTCCGATTTTCTTGAAACTTATGTCAAAATAAAGCTTAAATATTCTAGTTTCATTCCCTGTAAATATTATAATGGACAATTCAGGGGAATTTAAGAAATTAATTAAATTTCACAAAGATTTCAGAGGTAATGCATGTACCGAGCGGAATTTGTTTTTTTCAAATTTTTACACAGTTTAACCTCTGACATCTTTGTGAAATTTAATTAATTTCTTAAATTCCCCTGAGTTGTCCATTATAATATTTACAGAGAATGAAACTAGAATATTTAAGCTTTATTTTGACATAAGTTTAAAAAAAATCAGAGGCAACGTGTTTTGAGATATTGAAAAGGTTATCTTTCAAAATTAATTTTTTTCATAAATAATATTATTTTTTAAAAAAATTTTTTTACTATCGTAAAGTTGAGAAATTTTTTTTTTAATAACAGTATTATATAGTGAATAAAGTTTGGCTTTAATAAATAGGAGAAATAATTAATTAAAAATTGCCTTACAATGGCAATTGTTTATGAAGGGGGTCGTTTTGAAATGGAATGCCTCATATTCAAATGAACGAATTTTTTTCTTCCTTTTCTTAGTGTTTGAAATTTTGTAAAAAATATTAATTTTTGATTTCTCATTAAAATACAATAATAGTATAAATAATCAAGAGGAGCATGCAGGTATAATAAAATAAAAGGATACTCACTGTACTTTTGAATTGCCCTTGAAACGTGTCGACAATGACACTTCTATTGGCCTTCAAGTGCTTCGCCCAATGTTTGTCGGCTTCGATTTCATCTTGCGATGCTACAGCGCCATTTTCATAATTTTGTAAATTTTTCGATGATTGCATTCCGCTAGGCCCCAAACCATCGCGACGATGATTTTTTTCCTGATCCTCGAGTCTCATTCTCTTGACGTTACACTTCTCAAGTCCACTATCACATTCGGGTTCTGAACCACTAGAAATACCCACACATTCGACACTACAATTATTTTTTTGTACATTCACTTCATTTATTCGTTTGACACTAACGTTCTTGTTATCGAAATCGTGATTTTCTGTTAAATTCGAGTTGTCCAGAGTTGTTCGTCGGATATTTTCTTTTGGAAACTTTTGTGAGTCATAGTGGATTTCATTATTGCACTCGGGTTGGGTCACAAGAAAATTGGCATTACTTGTCTTTGCCTCTTTTAGAATGTCACAGAGGCCAGGATAATTGTTCACTCCATGCAAATCGTTTAGCTTGTCCAGTTTTGAGTAATGAGAATTAAAATTAACAGACCCTAAATCATCCTTTTGTGTTTTATTGTGAATGAACCTTGGCTTCGTGACAGTCACCTCGTCTGAGTCGAGTGTTTCTTCATCCTCATTTAAAGGAGAACCGTGTGGCGTATTTGTCGTACTGTCCAAATCACCAACGGGTGAGCTTAAATCTGGTGACAAACAACAATATTTTTTATTTTTATTTAAATGTATTAATAGGGGAAGTGCGCCGGTTGTGGGCACCCCTACGTAAACTTCGACGGCAAGCAGACTTTACTGATCTAAGTATTGCAAGTCGTGTTCGTTGACAATACGGACTTTTCGTATTGATAACGAAACAAATATATGCATTTGTGTAATAGCTGTGAGCATAATAAAGAAAATTTGCATTAAATTAATAAAAAAGTAATTTTGTATTGTTTTCGAAGAGCAACATATGGGTGTAGATTCGTTCAGAAAAAAGGGTTTAATTTTTTTTGCAGTGTTGTCATTATATTTTGTGATTTACCTTCGTGTTTAACCAAAATCCTGCATCACAAAATGTGTTGGTCTTTTTAAAAAATGACTGTCATTCCCGGTTGTGGGCACCTTTATGTTAAGGAGGCTCTACCATCTGACAATGATGTGGACTACTGTCTCATCTATCTAAACTTTCTGCCAAGGAAAGTGAAAGCCGCAAACTCCATTAAATGCGATGAATATATAGTCGTTCACATGCAAGCATTATGCTTTTGTTAGCGATGAGCATACTGTAAAAACGTGTCATCATTTTTGTTCTTTATCCCGGCAAAGTCTCTTAAAATAAAGAAACTTTCATTTCTTCTTTATTTGTGTTGGTTTCCTTTAATATTTTTCCATTTTTAGCGGATTTTTCAAGGGTGCCCACAACCGGGCACAAAAATTTTTTTGTCAAAAAATTTCTATTTCACTAAATTTCTAATAAAACTTTTTTATTTAAAGGAATCAATTTAATTCCTTCACTGACAGTCACCTTAGACCTCTAGCTTTAAATTCGTCCACATATATTTGTATAATATGCACATGGACAAATGTTATGAGGCAAAAACAAAAGGGTGTCCACAACCGGAACACTTCCCTTACCTAATTAATATATACTTTCACTAAATTAGATTTTAATTTTAAATTATTTTTTGTTTGCATATTAAACGAAGAACTAAACTAAATTTTTTGACTTATTACCGTCATTTTTATATCAGCAGATTGTTTAAATACTTATTTATGAAATTGTAATGTTAATTTCTAAATAAAATAAAATGCAGCTATTGGTTTCGCGCTTATCGCGAATACGGCACTTGTGCCATTTATTATAGAGCTAAGGATTTATCGATACAAGGTTCTACAAGAAAACTAATTCAAAATATTCTAGGCTTTTTTCAGGTTTTCCAGATTAATTTTCAGAAAATTCCACAAAAATTTTAAGTACAATTTTTATGCTATTTCAAGTTTTAAGTGTTTATTCAAACTACAGGCGTCACTGAACAAGAATATAAAAAGAAATACATTTTTTCGTTCTGGCAGTCTCATAAAAAACGAGATTAAAGTGTTTATTAAAGGTATTGAGCTATTTGAGCATCCCTTATTTTAAATATATAATATACTTTTTGGTAGGTACTATTGCTTTTTTCAGTTGAAAATAATTGACTTTGCCTTTACTAAATACATTGTAGAACACATATCAGTAAAAACGGCAGTAGCGTAACAAGAGAGGCCGGGGCCCTGGGGCGAGTAAAGCCTCGGGGCCCACTAGTAGAAATGAAATTTGATTAACAGTGGGAAATAACTACCAAATACCTTACAGCAGTAATAAAATTTCTCCTGATTCTCTTTCAAAACATTTATTAAGTTTTTCTAGTCGTAAGAAATATTTATGGAAGAATGTTGAGACTAGATAACAAGCTTAAAGTATATTTACTTAAAGTCATAAATAAAAATTTTAGTATAATTTATTATAACAATTTGACAATAGAATGATTACAATATATATTAAAGATAAAATTTTATCTTTAGAATTTATTTAAACAAGATTTTTAGTTTCAAATATGTTCATATTAAATATCAAAAATAATTTATTAATTTAATAAAATGAAAAATAATAATAAATATAATAAATAAATAAAATAATTTAAAAAATTAATAATAATCTAAGTTTTATAATTAAATCGTCTTAATCGCGGGGCCCCCAAAGTCGCGGGGCCCCGGGATTACGCCCGGTTTGCCCTATGGTAGTTCCGCCACTGAAAAACGGTTTTATAGATCAAACCGTCTAATGGTTCTGAGTTCTTGTATTTTATTTTGCATGGATAATTATTAAACAAGCGAATATTTAGGTGAACAAATATTCCCATGTCTCGACATGCTATGTATATGAGCAATTCTCAGCAACCTTTAAATATGACCTTTATATGGGGTATTCCAGGCCAAATCGGAAATTATTTTGCTTTTGCATCTCAAATTTTTTTTAACATTTTTTTTCATTTAGTACTCTTTGAAATGAGCTACCTTGATTTTTTTCAAATTTTTTTATAAAGCGGTTCAGGAGATACAGATTTTTGAAAAATGACGTTTTTTACGTAAAATTTTTTTTAAATGCTTATAACTCGGTCAAAAATTGATCAAATTTTGAAACTTCATAACTCAAAAAATATTTTATCAAATTCAAAAGAAATTTATATTTAGAATTAAAAATAGTTAATTAATTAATTAATTAACTTTTTAATTTTTATTTCGAATTTAATTTTACAGTTAAAAATGTATCATCCGTTTTTCTTTCTCTTTTTCCTCATTTTTTCTGCGTTTTTATTTGAAATTTCTGTCATTGGCCTCATTATTTTTAATTTTTAACATACTTTTAATTTTAAGAATGACATATTTATATCATGAACTTTGAAAATAAAACAACCAAAGTTAATAGTGACGTTATTAATTTATCACACTGGCAATCTTGAAATCCTAAATTAATGTGACAAAAAACATAAAAATTTCAAACTGGCCACAGGTTCAGTAAGTTTTAAGCTTTCATTATACATATTGTTGAATTAATTTTATTAAGGCACTCTTGAAATACGTTTTACGCAAGTACTTTTGCATTTACGGTCCTGACACGACAATAAGAGAAAGTTTTTGAAATTAAATTTACTAAATATCATTACTTTCCAAATGCGTACACTGTAAAAAAAGGAAGTTAAATTTTAACCCCCCCTGGGGATTCTATAAAAGTCGCACCCATTGGGGAGTTAATGCCAGGGGAGTTAAAACTTCACACCCAAATGCTAACTCCCCAAGGAAAAAACAACTCGCGCGGGTGTTAAATGAAGGGAGTTAGAAATTAACTCTCTTTTGGAGTTGATTTTTAACTCGAAAAATTTTCACTCCCAACTCCCGAGTCCGTTAACTCCCTAAATTTTTTACAGTGTATTATTTTCTAATTACTCTGAAAATAATTCTTGGATATTCATTTACATTTATGTATAAATCGTTTAATTCTATTTTGATGTTCCAACTTATGAAATTAGTTTAATTAACATTAAAAAATATTTATTAAATACTAAACATAATTTAATAATTTTAAAACTAACATATTGCTTCCTCATAGAGGAAGGATTGTATTTTAATATTATTAAACCTTCTTTACATGAAACAATAATTCTTTTTACAAAACATTTGATATATATTGAATTATTGCATAATAAATACGAGACACCTAAAGGTTGAAGGTTCAAGAGAATTGCCCATATGATTACGTAAATGTTTCAAGACCTTCACGGAAACAACTTTTTCTGTACTTTACAGAGTATAAAGAATTAAAAAAATATCTTAAAATTTACTAAAGATACTATCAAAAAATTGGTATCACGTTTTAGTTTTAAAAAACACTATTTTGTCAATTTTTGAGACAATTATGCGGTTATCGCATAATCTTCCTTTCTGTATTTTTCTGTTCAGTGACAACTAAACTTTCAATAAAATAAACACAAATTTTTAAATATGTTAGAATTTAAATTTTCGTAGTTAAAATATTTTATACTTCCGGTGTTCCTAGTTTATTATTCGGAATTTGGAAATTTAGTTTACGCGGGATTTCTTATTGGTAAGCGAGGGAAAAGTAGGTTTGATAGTCTTTGGCGGGGCAGAGCCCTTTTGGAGAGCAAAGAGTTTGGTCGTGCGTTACGGAAACCAAATCTTGCAAATTGTATTTAGCGTCGGTCGAGTTGAATTGTAATTGTGTGTATTTTAAAGGCAGTATGCTGCGCGAATCTTAATTTGTTAAATCTTAAATCAAATTATTTTATTTCATTCTAAATAAACTGTGATTAATATTTTAAAATACAGTGGTAAAATCTCTGTGTCTTATTTAGCCTAAAACTCAGTTGCTTCCTTGTTAACCATTCAATTAAGATTAGAAAAATCTCTAACAAAATTCAGAAGTGGGATTGTTTCAAGAAAATCCACCGTTGTGCGGTTAAATTATTTTTCTGTTACAAAAAAGATAAAATTTCCGTGCAAGAGTCTTAAGTGGTTTGAAGTTCACACGTGGCTTGCAAAGCAGAAAACAGTGCTAGAGGAATATACGCAAGTGTAGTAAAATGTGAAATCAGTGGAAAGTTCCTGTTTTAAGTTGGAAATTCATGGATGATAACTTCGAGGACTTTCAGCGAAAATTTTACAACTCTACTATTGTAACGAGGAAAATGGCGGACAAGGAAAAATTCGACGCGTTAATGAAGGAAGCGAAAAGGCTTGAGGCGGAAGTTGAGAGGCAGAAGATAAGACGAGCAGAGGAAAAAGCCGAACATGACCGACGTTTGGCGGAATCGAGAAACGAAATCACGAGTTTACAACGAGCGTTAACAGAGGGCAGCACTCAACAACATATGGAGAGTTTTGCGGCATCAGCTGGCTCACAAGATGTTTTGGCGCAGGCATTGACTCAAATTGGACAAACTTTGCAGCAGTTCCAAAAAACATTATCACTACCTCAGACATCAACTTCAGGGCAAGGTGGCAGTGTACAACAAATACTGTCGGATCCTCGAAGTGTTATTAGTGAATTTTTGGGGAGTGAAGAACCTGAGAAGGCGAGAGTTTGGATTGAGGAGTTTAAAAGTGCCAAAACTATTCACGAGTGGAGTGATGCAGTGGCGTTAAGCAT